CTTGGTGGCCACTGGGAGACTGCTGCTGTAAAAAGGAACCCCTTCAGATTGTCTGTATGAAAAACTGTGGGTTGTTCATCTTGTTTCAGAAGCTTTAACTGCAGCAGCTTAATAAATCGCATCAGTGCTGTGCCTGCTCAGCCTGTAAGAAATTTAAATGCAGAAAGATATATTTTATTTGTCATAATATAATCAATGTAAACATGAATTTCCTCTTTTTTGTGCTTTTGATATTCACTGGTAAGAACATTTATACTCATATTAGATAACTATAATATCTCTGGAAATTCTTAATCATATTTTTTCCACTGAATTTGTTGATTTGCCTTTGTCTCTTTGTTTTCCAGATTTCTCTCGTGGTGTTAAAATTGATCAGCTTCAAATTATTTTCAGTCGTGAAGGAACCGCAAATGTGACCCTGGATTGTAAACAAGATGACAATCAATATTACTACATGTACTGGTACAGACAAAGCAGCAGTGGGAAACTGGAGTTAGTGACATTTTCTACTGGTCAAAATTCCTGGAACATTGAAGCTCCTTTTACAAAATCAAAGTACACCATGTCTCGGCCTTCCGTGCTTGAATCTACCCTGCAGATACACCCTGTTAAGTCTGGAGACACGGCTCTGTATTACTGTGCTTCCAGAATAGCACAGTGGTTTAGAAAGCCTCTGCAGCTAAACAACAACCTCACAGGAAGAAAAAACTGGAAGATAAGGGGAAGATGGATAAATCAGAAAGCTGATGTGTTTAACTCTAAGAGCCCCATAAAATAAGTATCAGGACTACATGACATAAAAGGAAACAATAATTGTTATAAAAGCAAATAAAGCACATTTATCTTATATATAAGTACAAGAACTGCCATTTCACAGTTCAGTCATGTCTCTGCATCACCACAAAGCTGATCTGTTCAGATAAGTGAGCAGGTGTTGGTACTCAGTATATGACTACTTTAGTTAGCTGTAACATTTGCAGTGTAAATTATAATGATTTAATACTGGAGTGTTATTACTGATAAATCTACCCAGAAGTTTGAAATTGGCAATAACAGAATATCCAGAATATAATGGCTTTGACAGTTTTCCACTTGATTAATTCTGGTCAAAAACACTTTATGCCACCAGAACAACTATGACCTATCAAGGTTTGGACTCCACAATATCTCTGCTGGTGTCTAATAGTATCAGGCAGATCCTTTCAGTTCTGTCAGTTGTGAGGTGGCTCTTCCACTGATTGTTGTTCCAGGGGTCAGCATAAGGAGCCTGTCATTTCATAAGTTTTCATTTGTATTATTATTTTGAAAGAGATCTGGTTTCCTGTTTTGTTTTGGTTTTTGTCTCTGCCTGAAATACATGCATTACATTTTTATTTTGCTTTCTCCACATTTCAGCAATCTCCTCACCAAACAGTGGCACAGAAAACTAAAGTCCAGATCGACTGCAGTCATAATGATGAGAACCTTGCTCCAATGCTCTGGTATCAGTATATATAACAGAATAAGTCTATGACCCTCATTGAGAATGGATATCAAAATGCAAGAGGGAACTTATCATTCAAAGAGCAGAACTGTCACAAGCTGCTGTTTACTTCTGCGCTGCCAGCACACAGCGATGTGGCTTAATGCCACTCCCTTACTAAAAGCATTTTTTCCTATAAGCTCATACGTGACGTGACTCTTTTCACAGACCTTTGCTGAATGAAGCCGTGTTTATCCTGCAACAGCACAAACTTGGAGGATGTCAGCTGTGATCGGATTTCTTCTCATCTTCCTTTCAAGTAATTATTTCCAATCGTCCTCTACTTTTTACAACACTTATACGATGTTTAACATGACTCCTACATTAGCTTCTTTTAACATGTGGCTTTTCCCCCACACAGATCAAGCCAGCAGTGTGACCTTTCAGCCATCTCATCCAAGAATAGTCACTGAAACAGCCAATGTTAAAATTGCATGCAGTCATGATGATAATAACCTCAATTTAATGCTTTGGTACCAGCAAAAAGAAAATGGCTTAATGAGCTTCATAGGATACAGCTACATAGGCAGTGTCGCTGTCATTGAGGAGCAGTTTGAAAATCACTTTGATATTACAAGAGAAAATATCCAAACAGGAGCTCTGAGCATCAGCAGTGTGATTGTATCAGACTCAGCTGTGTACTTCTGTGCTGCCAGCACACAGTGATGTGTTTTGGTGTAACGTCAATGCTAGAAACCTTGTTCTTACTCCTCTAGGCTGATGGAATATGCCTCAAAACAAATGGCTGATTTGGCTTTAACAACAAGGTGTAGTTTTTAATGGATGGAGAATAATCTTTTTTTTTTCCTTTTAGGGCACAAAAACTAAAAAAAAATACACTAAAATGCCGCTGTCTATTTCTAAGTAGCATTTCAAACTACTATAAAAGGAGGTGGAACTCTTCATTTAGGGTGAATTATGATTTCACTTTTCAGGACCAGAATAAAATATCTTCTTTCTTTAGCTCCGTCGGCTGACATTTTACCACTTGCAGGAACAGACACACCAAAACTAAAAACATTAAAACTTGATTGATCCTGGTAAGACACCGTTCATGCCAACAGAGCAGCTCTGACCTATCAACTCTCCACAATACCTGATCTGAGATCTGTAATCACTCATCTGCCTGCCTTCCTGGGTGTTTGGCTGTTTTTCTGTTCTTTGCACGACTACCACTTTCTCACACTGTCACTGTCAATACTGACATCATTACTCTAGGCCAATCATCTTCTCGCCTGCCTTCTTTGAGCCAATGAGTCTTCTCATGTTTTAAATATGAGCTCTTCATCATTCTCCCTAAAAAAGTGTCTGTCATGCAACACACCTCCTCCCCATCTCCGCCACTTTTCAGCAGCTGCATCATTACACTGAAGACAGTTCATTGCTAACATGGATGTGGCAGTTATTTACCTGTACCTGTCATTTATTATTCACTCTGGTGAGTGCTGTGTATTTACTCAAGCCTTATTTATTACTTAATACCTACTTGACTCTACATTAAATTTAGTTTCCTCCTTGTTCTCTCCCATGGCTGCTAGGTCTGACTGTTGTTGTTCTTCAGCCTGGAGATCAAATCTCTGACCCAGGGAGAAAAGTGTTGCTGGAGTGCAAAATGGGTCCAGGGTTCAGCATGGGCAGCTACACCATGTTCTGGTACAGACAGAAGCACCACGGAGCTCCAATCGAGTTCCTTATGAGGGAATACGAGAA